ACTTTGGGAAGAAACAATCAGGTAAGACACTTAACTCAACTATCTCTACAATAACTATAATGATCTTGTTGTGCAGGATCAAACCAATAGCCAAGAAGAACAAGAAAATCACCTTTACAATTTGATACATCAATAAAGGAAATACATTAACAAACAAAATAAAGGATGATTTGAATGAAGAACAACTAGACAAAGTTGAGAATTCATTCTTATTCTCCTCTTCTAAACACAAAACAAAAATTCAGTCAATTGACAAGAAGACTGTTTTTAGTACTAGATTATTAGTAGAGTAGCTACTTACTCTTGACGAAATCTGTATTAGGGAGACGAGAATCGTAGTTATCGCCAGCTTCAGCTTTTTAGTTTTCAGAGAAAGACGACTTAGCTTCAGCTCAGTTCTTCAGAGAACTTCAGCTGGTACATTCAACATTCAAGAGAATAAAAAAATTATTGTCAAAGATAATCAGCCTATTTATACGTAATACAACTATGAGCTAGAGTCCTAAAAATCAACAAAATTCGTATCAACAACACAAGAATATCAAAACCCTAAGTTAAAGTTTAAAATTTCAAAGATGCACAAGAATATCAGAACCCTAAAGCTAGAATTTTGACTTTTAAAGATAGAATTTCTTACCTGATAAACTCTATTCCAACAACCCTAAATCTTTAAGACGTGAGGCAAGTTCATCTGTGAAGCATTTTGTTCAATTTTCAACAAGAAATCTGATGGAACAACTCTTCAACAAGGAATCTGTGAGGAAATCGTGTTCTTCCGCTCTTCAATCTTCAACAAGGAATCTGCAAGATGAAAATGGTGTTCTTCAGTTCTTCTTCAGAGAAAGCGTATTGTTCTTCAGTTATTTAGCTGAAAATCTGTTCTTCAGCTGAAGTTTGACGGAAATTTGTGACGGAAATCGTACGTGTTCTTCAGTTCTTCTTGAGGGAAAAAGCCAATTTCTTCAGTTCCTCAGCTGAAAATCGCATTCTTCACTTTAGTTTGAGGGAAATGGAAACTTCAGCTGAAGTTTTAGGGAAATAGTACTTTATTTTTTCTTTAGATGAAAATAACCTTTAATGTTTTATTTTTTCCGCCCAATAAAAATTGGAGGGAGAACAAGTTTTAATGTTAAAATGTTGGAGGGAATATAATATTTTAGTGAAAACACTAAGGCCACATTTGTAATGTGTTGTTTTTATAATTATAAAAATAGGACACTTTAAAAGTGTGGCCATTTATATAAATAGTTGTTGCCAATTATAACAACACTTATAAAGTGTAGCTTCTACCATTAAAGAGTACACTTTAGAAGTGTTGCTAATATTATTGAAGCTAAAAGTTTAAAAATTGGGCTACGCTTTAAAAGCGTCCCCAAAAGTATTTTAGGCTACACTTTACAAGCGTTGTCCAGATTTAGTGTGGTCGTAGGCCTAAAATGGTGTAGTGACATGTCACAGTAAGTAACTGCAACAAAATCCATTTTCCAATCAAGTGTTGTTACAAAAACTATGAAATCCTAGTTTACATGTATTTCGAGACTCTTTCGGCAAATATGAACAATAAATCCGGGAGAAAAGAACAAAACACTTAAATGAACACTCACAAACATTACCTATTGTGAAAAAAATTCCTTTACAGGAGGATATAAATATCATTCCATGGGAAGTACCAAGTGTCTTCTGAGAGCACAAAGCAGATGTACAACCAAAGAGCTCAATAATTTTTATGCGAACAATATGAGCATTACCAAAAAGCTCATAATACAACTAACTACAACTTTTTTTCCTTCAAAGACGTCTCTCCCATCAGTAAGCTAAAAAAAGACTAAATGCAGTCCACTGGTGCATCTTCGCTATAAATATTTGAGGAAAAAAATTATAATATAACTCCAAATATTGCAGGGTTGAACATTGATGAAAAAATGATGTCTGTCATTTCATAACGTAAATCTGACTGTACAGGTCAAAATGTAAAACCTCATCTGGGCATTTCTTAAACTTTCTTTTATGTCTTTTGTTGTTGGCTATTCTGTCTAGTTCATTTTATTATAATATAAGCACAAATGAGATGCATAACACGCAAATCTGGAAATTTCATCAATATTTTTTCATCTACTATCTAGCATACATTATCGCCACGTTAATCCATACTAAAATTGGAAGGAGAGCATGGTTAACTTACATCCTTACAATCCACTAGAGAAGAAGGTGGTATCTAAAAAGATGAGCAAGAGATGACACGAATACACAATCAATATAGTTGCATAACATTATATAATAACATATGACATTAGGAATTGTCAATAGGGGATACTATGCTATCTAAATGTGGTAAGTGAACACTCACCTTGTTTGGTTGTGTACTACAAAATGTTGATCCGACATGCTGAAACTCAGTTTGTTTGGTCATATCAAATTTAACAGGTCATTCGCACAAGTCACCAATTTAAAAGGATGATTTTTAAAATCAGCCACAGAAACACCAACACCATTGAATGTCTTATTTTATGGAGTAACACTTGCACTAGAGTTCCTGCAAAATCTAACTCTACTCTTTGTGCATAAGTTGTGCAGTAATAGACT